TTCTCTTCTCTTCTCTTCTCTTCTCTTCTCTTCTCTTCTCTTCTCTTCTCTTCTCTTCTCTTCTCGCCAATAAAGAATTCTATCTATCTATCTTGCTTTCACACAGGTCCGCCACATATGATGATAAGTACCTGGGGTAATTGTGATCGTAATTTGAGGACTATCTGTACAGATCTATTTTTTGTTACTCATGTCTCATTGTCCTCTCCCCCACTCCTCCTCCTGCCCCCCCCACTTTGATTCCAGGGAAACAGCCGTACCCAAAATAACCGAAAACAAAACCTCCCGTAATTAGCAAGGGAAGTGCCTCTCCCAGCTGTCTTCGCTCTTTTCCCATCACAAGGCCGACTAGTCCCAGGCGGGGGACTAAACAGGATCAGGTGGCAGGCTGAAAAAAAAAACCCACCATCTGGGCAGCATCCACAGGTCCAAATTCACACAAGCCCGTTTTGAGACATGGCAGATATTCAGGAGATTAGTCATTCCCCACCAGTGAAATGGGTTTTATTCAGCAAAGCTGATTTCTTATTTTTTTTCTCTCTCACTTCCCCTGGATTCATTCCACTAACCAGCCTTAAAAAAAGAGAGGGATCTTGGAGTCCTAGCGCACGACCATGTGCTGCAGCTGCCAAAAAAGCCAACGCAATCCTAGGCGGCATAAACGGAGGGAGAGAATCACGATGACGAGAAGTGTTAATGCCGCTTTAAAAGGCCACCCTTGGAAGACTGCATCCAATTGTGGTCATCACAATACAAAAAAGATGTTGAGACTCTAGAAAGAGTGCAGAGAAGAGCAACAAAGAGGATTAGGGAACTGGAGGATAAAGCATACGAAAAACGGTTGCAGGAACTGGGTATGTCTAGTCTGATGAAAAGAAGGACTAGGGGAGACATGATAGCAGTCTTCCAATATTTGAGGGGCTGCCCCAAAGAAGAGGGAGTCAAGCTATTCTCCAAACACCTGAAGGCAGGACAAGAAGCAACGGGTGGAAACTAATCAAGGAGAGAAGCAACCTGGAATTAAGGAGGAATTTCTTGACAGTTAGAACAATGAATCAGTGGAACAACCTGCCTCCAGAAGTTGTGAAGGCTCCAACACTGGAAGTTTTTAAAAAGATGTTGGATAACCCTTTGCCTGAAGTGGTGTAGGGTTTCCTGCCTAAGCAGGAGGTTGGACTAGAAGACCTCCAAGGTCCCTTCCGACTCTGTTATTCTATTCTATTCTAAATAGCATTTCATTAAACCGCAGGAAAAAGAGAGAAAGAGAGAAAAAAAAAGG